GAAAATTTTACATTTTGATGTTTGGTTGGTCGGGAATCTTATTTCTGGTAATGTTTTATTACTAATAGTAGATTTTTTGGGGTATATTACCGGAAATGTCATTACCTCAATTCGATTAGGTATTATAACATTATCGCGTTTTGGATTAAAATACCCTTAAATTTTATTTTTTTTCAAAAATATATTTCTTCTGTCATTGAATAATAAAAATTATACGAAGGTTAAATTACAAATTTATCCTTAAATTATTTTAGATTTACAAAAAAAATCTATAATTAAAATTTTATATGAAGTTCATGGGTTAAAAAATTGTACTATTTCATTAAACATTTTTTTATATTTTTAATTTTGTAAAAAAAATTATATAAATACTATGAATTTAAATTTTTAAAGAAAATATATAAATATTTTACAATTTGTAATATTATACAAATATATAATAAGGACAATTTGGTTAAATATACATTCTAGTAATCTTTTATTCCTTTAACCAAACACAGTAATCTTACATTCTTATTAAACCAACCAAACACAAAATACAACATTCTCAGTAATCCTATTCCATGATAATCTTTTATTTCCACTGGTAAGCTTATATTCCGTGAACCAAACGCACCTTATAATCCTATTCCCTGATAATCTTTTATTCCCACTGGTAATCTTATATTCCGTGAACCAAACGCACCTTAGTATAAGATTACCAGTGGGAATAAAAGATTACCAGGGAATAGGATTACTGGGAATATTGTATTTTGTGTTTGGTTGGTTTAGTAAGAATGTAAGATTGATGTGTTTGGTTAAAGGAATAAAAGATTATTGGAATGTATATTTAATCAAATTGTCCTTATTATATATTTATTTTTTTAACAAGTTGAAAACTCTTTAAAAAATTAAATTCATAAAATTTATATAATTTTTTTTACAAAATTGAAAATATAAAAATGTTTAATGAAAGGATAAAATTTTATTTTAACCACTGAACTTCATATAAAATTTTAATTATAGATTTTTTTTGTAAATCAAAAATAGTTTAAAGATATATTTGTAATTTAACCTTCGTATAATTTTTATTATTCAATGACAGATTAAGAATATTTTTGAAAAAAAAATAATTTTAAGGGCATTTTAGTCCAAAACGTCGGTAATCCAATAATACCTAAGGAAATTAAAGTAATGACATTTCCGGTAATATACCCCAAAAAATCTACTATTGATAATGTAAGATTATTAAGAATGACATTTCCGACCAACCAAACGGGGAAATATGGATTCCATTCCTATGGAAAACTCATATTCCCCAACCAAACACGCCATAAATGACACATTTATTTAAGGGAAAAGATTATTATTATTATAATAATATTTTTCGAAATAGGTACCTATTACGATTTATAAATATTTCCTTTATTGAGTAATGGGCCATTCGCTATAATATTTTTTTTTGTGCTTTTTCGAGAATGTCATTCTCCTTTTTTTTTTTTTAGTATTTAACAATTTTCGTCTATTTAAATAAATTACCCCTAAAAAATATAATTATTTCAAAAACATTCATCTATTTATTCTTTAAACCGTAAGTTATCAAAATTATGATAAATGCTCTAGGCTCTCAAAAAAGGATTTCAGTCCACTGCTCTCTTATATGCTAAAGTGTTACGATATTAAATTACAATTACATACATAAATGTTTGATAATTACTTCAAAAGTTTGCTAATATGAGACATATAATAAAAGGTTTTCTTATTATATTTTTTATGTTTATTAATTTTATCAAATAATTTGATATGATATTTTATTGTACGATTCATACATGTAGAATAAAATAAAAAATATATATAGTACTTAACACATACTTACACCAATGTAAGTGAATAAAATAAAATAGTGTAGCACTTAACATATACTTATACAGGTGTAAGTATGTACATCTCTCAATATCTTAATATGTAAAAATAAAAACATAATTATATTGGTGTAAGTATGTTTATGTATTTTCAAAGAAATAAAAAATGAAACAATATTAAGTTATTTGTGTATAAATTTATTAAAAATATACAAATTAGAAATAATAGAAAATTATATTTCCTATAAACTTTTATGTAAATATTTTAACTTTAATGTTGATAACTTAACTTGTTAAAAAATAAAATATATCTCAAAGACAATTTGGTAAAACATACATATTTATTATCTTATATTCATTCAGCCAAACATTGTATCCTACATTCCTGCCAAACAAACCAAACAAGACAATTCAACATTTCCAGTAATGTGTTAAGTGATGTAACATCCCAATAATCTATTTCCCACGGTAATCTTACATTTCGTGAACTAAATGACTCTTAAAATTAATGAGTTTATTCTTTGCATCTTTTTCCCGAATCGCGCGGATGAAATCAGAGAAGCTAAATTCATTTACTTAAGATTTGTGTAATAAACGATTTAAGTAATTAAGGGAATTGTTGTTATCTTCCAAAGTTTCGGGTCCGAGCACTGACGTATACAAGAGTGAATATTCATTATCAAATGGTGGAAAATCTTTAATCAGATACTACTTTTTATTCATCTCAAATTTATAAAAAAATATCATAATTGTTGGAAGGAATAAAAGAGAACCTACCAAATTGATTTTTAAGATGTTACATAATATTAAAACGATTTTAGTGAAATTCAAAGATCATGCTTGAGATATTTCATAATTGAATTATAGTCAATTTTACAATTCCATATATATTATCTAAAAGATAAGAATTTTATTACTATTAATAAATTATTTTGTGGATAAGTTATTTCTAAAAAAATTACCTAGTAGAATTTTCTCTTATTCTAGAATACATAGATTCTGAAAGAACTGTTACTTTAGATGAAATAATTGTCGAGTCTAAAGATAATATGATTAAAATGATGATGAGAAGATTGAGAATTTAGGTTTGTGAATTATGAACGAATTTATTTAGTTGTTAAGATTCAACATATAAAATCAATTTAGTTAGATTTGTTATATTTTAATTTATGTTTTGATATCATATGAATTTATTTATTATTAGATAAGTCTTTAAATTAGTCTTTAAACATTGTTAGAATATTTTGATACCAATCATAAGTTAAAAAATATTAATGATAAATTGAATGGATAAATTTTGTTATTGAGTCTAACTGTGTATGCTTAATAAATTATATATTAAAAAATAGTAAGCATAAATTATTACGATATCATTATAATAAAATGGAGAAAAATCATAAATGGTTGATTGAAAAATTGTGATATATAATATAAATACATGTATAGGATTGATTCTAATAAAAACTTGGTATTTTGAAGGTGTTTAGTGCATCAACTCTTTTTCCTTGACACATATTTGATGCATCGTTCATTTTCTACGTTCGCTATTTCAATTTATAAATACTATGACATCATTAAGGATGGTCATGGATTGAGTTGGGTCGGGTTTTCGGTCAATTCGAATCAATTTGAAAATTTTATACACTTCACGAAAAACTCAACCCGAGTTTAGGCTAATTTCACAAGACCCGACCCAACTTTTGAGATAAAAGCCGATTCTGACTCTGACCCAACCCGAAATAATATAAAATTATTAATTTTATTCAATAAAATAGGGACTTAATTGAAAATAAATAATATAAAGATGAGTATTATTGTAATTATCCCAAAATATATAAGATATAATTATATTATTTTTCATGTCGAGTTTGATAGAATATTTTTTACCCTAAACCCGAACATGACACGACCCAAATGTATCCTCTAAAATATCCAACCCAACCTGATATGAACCCAAATTTTTTTAATAAAACCCGATCCAATCTGATTGGATCAAGTCGAAACCTATTGAGTTCGGATTTCATGCCCATCCCTAAAGAGGATGTCACTCTTTGTAGCTTAATGAAAAAGTTAAAAGTAAAATTTGATAATCTTATTAAGATATATTTTTTTTATTTATAATAGATGAAAAATCTTGATGATTTCTTCAAAGTTAATATATGAATGAAAAAAATAATACAATAATGCAACTAAAATATATTATAATCATTAAATATATTTAATTATACTCCCACAAATAAAAGAATGAGAAGAGATTGTTTAGCCATAATATTTAAGAATTTTAACTAGTTTTGAAGAATTATTGAAAAGTCAGACCTTTTTCTGCAATGTATTTTGTATTTTGATGTATGAAAGACACTAAAAGATGCATTTAATCGGTATCTCTTCAATGGGTGTCTTGGTTCCATGTACACGAATAGAATGAGTTAATTGCATTACATATCCTCAAAGAAGGACCATCATTTTAAATTGATTCTTAAACTTTAAAAATTTTCAATTTCATCCCTAACTATGACTTTAATTATGAATTAGTCCTCCAACTTTTAAAATTTTCAATTTCATCCCCAAACTATAGCCTTCATTCTAAATTGATCCCAAACTTTTTGAACATTTAATTTCATCCCAAACTGTGCATATATATTAATCATATCCCTTGTTAATAAAATCGTTAGGCCAATTTATATTATTATATGTTTGGAAAAAACAAAATTTAGATTAAACTATTGTTTATATTAATTAAATTATTTGGATAAATTTGGGGATGAAATTGGAATATTCAAAAGCTTGGAAAACCAATTTAGAAAGGTCATACTTTAGGGATGGAATTAGAATGTTCCAAAGTTTAAGGACTAATTTAAAATGTGAATCATAGTTTGGGGATGAAATTGGAATATTTAAAAGTTTAAGGACCAATTTAAAATGAGTTTTACAGTTTGGGGGCATATGATGCAATTAACTCCAATAGATTTGTATTGAGAATTTATGATTGGATAATTTCAGGAATTGCAGATAAAAGATAATCCTAAGCTCGAAGGATAAGAAAACTGAAAGAAGAACAATGCTTTTTTGTATCATTCTGCTATAATAAACAACCATTCATAACGTTTGTGTTTGACAATAATGAAGTTGACTTGCAAAAGGATGTAACAAAAAAGATGCAACTTCCACATCCACTCTTCTGCTAAACCAAACGTGTATGTTCCCATCCTCACTTCCCCAAACAATTTCTGTTCTTTTGTCACACAAAAACTGTAGCAGTCCATACATGAAAAAGAAAGCAAAAAAGAAAAGATTGTAACGAAAACCTGAATCTTGATGCCGCATCTTTCGGGTCACTGAATCTTGCATCACTAGGGGAATATCGCGGTGTATCCGGTGGCCCAGTTCTGCACACTTCCCTGAAACTCAAATCTTTGGTATATGCCAAGAATGTTGATTCATATACATTTGTTTTTGGCCAGTTCTTTGGTATATTACTTCAGTATAAAGCTGCTCTTCACTTGGTCTTCCTTATCAGACATTCTTGTGGCAATCCGTACTCCTTTTTAAGGTCTGCAAGTTGGAGCCTCCAAGGGTCATTATGTAACTTGTAGTGCAAAATCTGTTTTGACATGGAAGAAAAACAAGGTTACAATGATGTACATACATAAACAAAAAACATGAACATGTCGGTATGGATTGAATCATCTGAGTGCCGTTGAGAACCGAGTCCGTGAAGTGCAAACTGGGAGCATATTTAACACTTCAAAACATGCATGGAAAAAGAAAAGAATGCATCACGGGTTATTATATCTGGTTATTATTTAAACTTTCTACAGGAATCCACAACCATGTACAAAAGAGAAACCTTTTTCATCTTTTGAACTTTAATCGGAAAAAAGATACAGAATCTAATCCCTGTTTGTTTAGAAAGGAAATATAGTAGTTTTAAATGCAGAGGAAATAACATAATTAATTATATCTGGTGCCATCAAGGAGAAAATACTGAACTATCAGTCAGCTTAAAACGAAATACAAATTGAACCAACTCCTATTTTCCAGTTTTGAGGATACAAAACAAAATTTAACAAACAATTTGATAGATATTACTAAAAGCATATATGATTCTAAATTTTGCTCATATCATAACAATTTGTTCCTTGAAAAGCTCACATAAATGGAGCTTGTACATTGGTTGTATACTCGGATGTAATGCAATCCATAAGAATTAGCATCCACTTCGCAGTTATCATTGCATAAGATTGGGAAATAAAAGAAATACAGAAGGAACAATACCTGTAAAAAAGTTGTAAAGACATCATCTTCAGATTGTTGCAAGAATTGAACTGCCCAATCCTCCTCTAGGCCAAAACCAGTTTTTTGCCTCTCAGCTTCTAGCAAAATAGAATCGCGGTAGAGGAACCTCTGCCATATTTTCTGTACATTTTTCAACTTGAATTCTATTTCTGTTTCATTGATTTTCTGCAAGGATATAAATGGAACCAAATGATCAGCTAAAGAAACTTTGAACTCTCTGTTTTTCAGTTTATAAGAAAAGCCTACATAGACAATACCCGAAGAATCTTTATCAAATTTGGAATTTCATCCTCGCGTATTCTAACAGCAAAGCTTTCATAGTTGAGCATATTCTCGTAAGGTAGGAAGATCCCATCCTATACACGAGGAGATAACAAACAAATTAAATAACAAAAGGAAAAGGCAGGAAAAAAACCATGCAATTATTTTGAGAATGAAATATAGAAATTATAAAATCCAAGTTGTAGAAGAACCCTAGAACTTGAGGAGAAATCATTCAAGTGTATCTGCAACATGTTACGATCCCTTGAACTGGATTTAGTTATGCGTCTATCGAACAGCAACCAGATAAGGGTGCTAAATATAAAGTCCATAACCCAGTAAGCAAGAGATGTTAGCCACGTCAATTAGTCAGATACAAGTTTAATAATCAGAAGAAAGTTATAAATGCTCGTAGCAGATCATGGCCAATGTTTTCAGCACCATGCACATTTCTCCATCTGAAATTAGTCTTGGGAGAAGGATGCCTACCAAATGAACGATGCTGGATCATGAAAATCAATGTCCAATTTTAATTATCATGTTCAACTAAACAGTAAAATCATTGATCTCAGCAGATTAATTTAATTATTCATGAGTTGTCAGTCTGCATATTTGGCCAGGCCAAATTACTTCAACATCCATGTCTCCTTGACAGGACATCCACAAAAGCATTTGAGCCGCCACTTAGTGAAAAAGCTAACCAGTAGTGTCTAAAAATAGTTTATTTATGCAGTCTTTAAAAGATTACCCAGCCCAGAATCTAAAAAATAAAGCTCGTTTTGAATAAAGTTCTTTTCTCTAAATATTTGACTTAAGGAGCTAAATGTATTTTACAAGAGCACTCCACGGAACACCTTATGTTGCATGGGCAAATGGATTTTGAAATCTTTAACCAAATATTTTGAGGTGCAAATCAGAGAGATGAAGCCTAATCCCTGAAATGTGATAATTTCTTAAAATAAATTCAGAATGTCATTTGCTACTCTAACATAGGAAGTAAGCCAAGTGAATTACCAAAAAAAAAATGCTTCTCTAAACCCATAATCTCGAAAGAGCAGTAGCTATGTGAGGTGCAACATGCATTAATGTAGTACCTGAATAACCACAGGAATGCATCCTTGCAAAATACTATCTTCCATACGACCACTCCAACCATCTCCAGGCAACACACCACAGAAAGTAGAATTGGCTATATCCTCATGATAGTTTTCAGAACGAAGAGGAGTCACAATTACATCTTCTGCATACTGTTTCCCTAGTTTTCCCTCCTTGTTAGGGGTTGAACCAAATTCATCGGCCAGTCTCTGTCTGATCCCCATGCTATACCTGCATGAACACCATAAATCATCAATAGGTAATTTCCAGGATTTTAAATATACTAAATGCATATAGCTGCTACGTAATAACTGAAATCCAACCATTAAATGTTTTAGCTGACAGAATAAATCATGTTTCTTAATATTGACACCAAAGGTTCAAAGAGAGGACTCAAAATTTATTAAATATTCTCAGAAAAAAATAGGAAATAGCCCATTTTAGATCATGAAAATTTAAGAAATGGAAGAAAGAATTGCTAAGACATGAAAAAAGATGCCGATCTTGGGATCCTCTGAGAATATAGTCTATAATTCATTTAAATGGAACTTCCTTAATCAAATTTATCCATATGAAAATGTAGTCAACTTACGTAGCTTCTGGTCTCCCACTTGTGTAAGCTGGTCCTAGATTTCCATTGAAGAAAAAGAGCGTCTTCCGGTTCTCACGAGGCCTGAAATAAAAAGAGTTTTCTTTCCTTAGACCCGTGTAAAGGTGTTTCAAATTGAGAAACAAAAGTATTTTTTACATATATGATCAATAGGACACATAATATTGCAGTCAATAGGAAAAGTACCTAGACCATAATTTTGCACTTAAAGAAGTAACATCAGGGCGTTTCCAAGCAGGAAGCACAAGATCTTTTGCAGGATCGAAACAAGAATGGTTGCCTCTTCTATCAGATGGAATCTTGTCCCAGTTGTCAGCCCAGTAGGCTGTCGTTGAGTGGTTGTGCTTAGAATTCGTATTACCCCAGTGAACCAACATCATGCTATTCCATATCTCCTTGGGGGCATAGCAAGCACCTTCATCCCATGAAAATGACTACACTCAAATATAGAGGTGATGTGATTAGCATATAAGCTGCAAAATTCTACACAGAAAATGCAGAAAAATAGATATAGACACAAGCATCATACACAGAAAATCAGCTATCATTGTCTTAAAAATTCTATTTTTTGCATCAAATTTAACCATTTCATATCATACCCAAATATGATCTTTTCCTGCTGAACGATTCCAGTAAGGATATTTCTCAATAATTTGCTCATGTGCTTTCTTATAAAATTCCAGAGTGAGGGAACTCCTCAAGCCAGTATGGTTCTGAAATCACAGAGTAATAAGGACGTAAATACATGGAATCTGGGATCAAATGAAAATTAAATAAAGCCTTGGAGTTCATACATAAAACAAAAGAGCCACCCTTTGGTGGAGTTGAGAGATAATAAGAATACTATTTTTTGTGAAGTTAAGAGATAATACTGAATACTGATTTACAATTATCAGGTGATTGGCCCATAAATAATTCATTAGTCCAAAGGCATACCGCATATGTAAAATTTTTGTTAGAAGCAAATATAAGCTAAAAATCATCAGCAATGCTGCATAAAAGACTCAGACACTCAGTTCTGTCTCCATTTGCAAAAGTTCACTTACTTTAAAAATATATATTGGTAAAATGCTAGAGCAATCACATCGTAGTCTATAGTTTTAATTGACAATTCAATGAAAATACATTAAATAAAGCTCTCGCAGTGGAGAGCTATAGAGATTATACTAATCCATAATCCAATAATTTCTTTTTAACACAGTAGGACATATACTAAAATGTAACAACTTAATAAGTTTACCTCCAGGCTCAAATGGGGTGCATCATCAGCACGTGTTATAATGCAAGCATCCAGAACAGGAACGAAGAAAAAATCTGCTTCTTCACCATTTAATGTTCGGTGTGGACTGGCTAAAATACTCTCATAGATTGCCATCTGGAAATTTATAGAATCAAAGCAAATTCTAAGAAATTATTCAGGTTATAAGGTGCTATGCATTAATACTAGTTTGAACTTTGAACAATACCTGGGAGCCATATAACTGATCTGTCCACAATGTTGCATTCCTTTCATCATAGATTCTGTTCACACACTCAAACTTAAAATGCCGTCCCTAAAATTGCCAATCAAGTGAAAATTATAAGAATGTTGCTCTTGATAGTATCAGATACAAAATAATTCTCATTCTTACCTCAAGAAGCAAGCTGTTGAAGTCAGGAGGTAAATCATATACATAGATAAGTGGCCTTTTCTTTTCAACTGCAGCATTGAGATTGGCAAGTCTGCCTGTGCCTTCATTACTAGTAATATCAACATGAGCAGGTTTGAGCCACTTAGGCCACTCTCCAATTGCAGATACAACTGAAGGAATGCTGCAGTCTGTCCCATACCATCCATTGTTGCACTGAAAAAATAAATCTTGATTTAGATTTGAATAAAGGCAAGAAAGGCACAAGTTAAGCAAACATTTTACAGAATAAAGGGGAATTAACACAAATCAATTGTCTGAAGGTACAGAAATGTAAGGATTCTTAAAATCAAATCATTAATAAAATTGAATATGGAATGTTTATTCAACTAAAATTTTACTTCCGATGAGTAGTGAATGTAATCTCAACAGTCAAAAGCAGAAAAAAAAGACCAATAAAACTCCAAAATCATTCTAGGAATCAACTCATCACTAATGGAACAATTCTCATGAGGAAAATACACTTTTAAAACCACAAGGAAAAAATTTAACCTTTCCGAAGTCATTAGGGTCCATTTGGAGGGGTATTTTCAGGAGGGAAAATCATTTCAATGGAGATATTCAAAAGTCTGAAATCTAATTGCGTTGTTTGGCTAAAAGAGAAAGGAAGATTTCAAAATTTATGAGAAATTTGAAGATGGAACCTTAAGTGTCACAATCCCCTTGAAACCCACTTAAGGTGGTGGTTTTCCAAAATTCCTGCAAATCTCTCATAAACAATTCACCAGAAACCACAAAAAGCAGAAAATAATTTATTTTAACTATATAACATAATTCCAAATTACTAATAAAACATAAAAAAAAATTGTAAAAATCTAATGAAGCTCATGTTGAATTTTTATATTTTTCTTTTTCTTATGTTTATATCATTGTTCTTCTTTTATAGTAATTATTTTTCTTAGTCTCATCAAATTCCAGTAATCAAAATCTCTTCCTAAAAAATTTACCCAAAAAAATTATGTTGAATTTTTTTTATTGATGCATTTTAAAACGACTCCATTTCAAAAATCATTTTTTTTCTGACAATCATTTCAAAAATCTTCAAATTCCCATCGAAATGCACTGTAAAAGGAGTATATAGTTTGTCAAATTATGCTTAGAGCCAGAGTCCTATTGTTTAAAGTTTACTGTTTTTAGGAAGTCTCTTATGATTAGGGGTCCTAGTTATCTTTAGATAAGAGTTTTATCTACTGTAAGTCTTCTATTAGGAATTAATAACTAAGTGTATAAAATAAAGGGTTATGAACCCTATTTCGATTTGATCAGAAATGAGAATAGTTCAGTCTTTTTTTCCTTTTACTTTTTCCAGTTTTTCTCTATCTTCTGACATAGTCTATAGATTAATATGCCCTTCAATCTATTCCTAGAAATTCCACATCATTCAAAAGACACTTGTGAAGATTATTGCTTTTATAAGGTATGGTCCTTCCAAATCAAAGTAGTCCATTAATCTTCTTCTATTCTAAAATATGGTAGTGATTTGTTTATCCTCATCAATTATAGCTTATCACACAAACTCAAACACGTACATATATATATATCTTATAATGAATGTAGGTAGAAGGTAATTTGTACCATTTTTTCCTTTCAAAAGAAAATCAAGTTCCACAATTAATTTAGAAAAGAAGAAGTATAAAGCCATTACCTGGCAAAATCCACCACGACAATGGCCATGTCCAGAGCATTGGTTGATACAAACACTTTCAACGGGCACTTCACAAAAACGTCCCCAAAGTCCATCATATTTGCAATCACATTCCTCTTTAAAGAGCACTTTGGAATCATATGCAGCATCTGGGTCTACATTACACCATCCTGGTTTGCTCCCGTTTGTTGTAAAAATATTATCCAGGTCAGCTTTTGCCCAATCAGTCACTTTGACACCTTCGGGTTCAGTAGGTGAGCTGAAATAGAGGCAACACGAGGTGTGTGGCTCATGATGTTCACGATAGAAAACAAATACCAAGAAGCATAGAATTAGGAGTCTGACTATAGCTTACTTTACTTGAAACCCACATGTCTCTGCCACAGGACGGTTTGGATATTTTGTGCCTTCTCCACAAAAGCACATAGCTCGGGTAGTGTCACAATGAGCAGAACATATTGAAACAACCCATCTCCCATACGGTAGCTCTGGTGTATTAGGGTAATTGCAACTCAAATTTAGCCTTCCAGAGCAATCTTCTCCTGTTCCATCAGAGATGTTATTTAGCCATTGTCATGATTGCATATCATATTATTTTTGGATTTCTCTTTCAAGCTAAGACTTGAGAGTAAAATACAGCCATTTTTAACAACAGTTAAATTCTTTAGTGCTCCATAATCAATCTTAATTTGACAGTAACATTTAAATTGGTTATATTTCAAATTCCACTGTCTTTAATTCATCATCCTAGAGATGGACAAAACATACATTTCAACATATCCAACTATTAGATGGTGTCGTACACTCGTATGTCCATTTTTTTAGAAGCAAGGAACAGTGACTAATAGTCAATTGCATTTTATCATTTTATCAAGTCTGTAATAGTTGACTGCATTTTTATAAAGTTTATATGCAATCAATGTGTGCAATGGATAAGGCTGTGCTTGCGATGAAGGTTCTTATAGAACTTTTAACTGAAAAAAGTCAATGAAAGGAGGTAAGTACTGACCATTAAATCCATGGAAGCATCTACATTCCCCAAACTCATGATTGCAAACACCTTGACCACTGCAGTCATTTTTGCAGCGTCTACCACCTATTGTCTGCCCAAGGGAACATAATTATGTTGTGCAAATCAATATTATGCTGATTTAACATTAAATATGTCTAGATCCATGAAATTAAGACACATACAGAAAAGAGAGTGGTCAAGGAAGGAGTAGGGAGCTGCTCAGGGAGACAAGAAAGATGAATGATTATTAAGAATCATCATAATTACCTCAACAATGCGGGCTTCCGTAGCAATAGCATCACAACCAGAAAGCCAATGGCCGATCGCTGCCTTCCAAGGAGCATTACGATAAACAACTCCATTATGCAAGTCAGAAGGAAATCTGTGATCCAAATCAAGACCCTGTGGCTTATTTACCCAAAAATGATCAGCAGCCTGGTCAACTGATGTATTAACTGGAACACACTTGTACTGGACTTGCCGAGCACTGAAGTAATCAAAAGAAGGGGTGACAGGAAACAGGAATAGATGAACAACTGAAACTAGCACTATAATAGAAGCAATTGTAGCTACAAGAGACCATGAGCATTTCCACTTCTGAACAGAATACATTGTCTCTAGAAACTCTTCTACTGCAGTTGAGAAACAAATCAATGAATCTGTGAGCTTCAAATTAAAAATTGGTTGTTTCCTCACGCCTCACTCATGCAAGCGCCTATAGCATCAACCAGAAAGCAGTTTTAGAAAATAAGGGCAATAAGAAAATGCTTATTTGGAAACAAGTATTGGAGAGTAGATTTTGATTTGATTATTTTACAAATCATGAGGATGAATGAATTATTGGAGTTCCCTTTTTTATTTATGTATTACTAATTCAGCGCTCAATAGAAATCTAGAAAAGCCAAGAATTTTAAATGTAATCATAAAAAAATACTATGTTGAAAAGTACTACCAAAAAAATTCATTCTACAGTTATAAACCACAAAACCCTACTGCAATTTTCACCGATAAAAGCAAGCAGAAATTCATAATGCATACAACCTCCAAAATAACACTCAAAGTCCCCAACTCAAAACAAGCTAGGACTAATAATATATAGAATTAAAATCAGTAATTTTTCACCTTAACTGATAACAGGGCAATAATTCAGCATAATTGCCAGGAGAAAAGTTAAATTGTTTTGAACAAGGATTGAGCTTTGATAATCAGAAAGCAATGAACAGCCTTTAACCAGATCTGGGTTTGAAGAGTTTGACTAAAAATATCAATAATTTAACAGGCAATGGTATAAACACATGAGAAAGAGAATTTAATACTGCAGCAATTATTGAATTTTGTAAATTAATGATGATTCAGGACAGAGCTCACCAGTTGGCGCTTGTTCTGAAGATTCCCAGCAAACCCAGATTTTTTCTAACAGAGAAAGAAGAATTCAAACCACAAAATAATAATAAATAATAATAAATTTGAAGTTGAGGAGATTGGAGACGGTGCTCTAATTACAAAAACCACCAAAGACTCGTTCACGAAGTTTGAAAATGCTGACAGTTAAATTTACGAACTATTAAAGAATGGGTAAAATATGGCAGAGGTCATTGCATTACACTCAAATAATTGTTTTGGTCACTAAACTTTTAATATTTATAAAAACGGTCATTTCATTTATCGAATGATTACACTCTTTCATCACAATGTTCGCCGACCCTTATTCCCATATGTGATGGGGTAAGGGAGAGGTAGGATAGTAGGCTGCCCCTAACGCCAGGTTGAGAGCAGCTTCCGTAGGAGACCTCTAAATTATGAAATGCCTTGAGAATCATTATAAGTTTTTATAGCTTCACATTTACTAGAGTATCTGTACCTTTTGAATCCAGAGTATCTAATGAAATTAAACTTCTTCTAAAAAGTGAGAAAATCGAAACGTCAGTCGTCGTCGATCATTGTAAATGGTGGTCGTTTAGTCCTAGATTTTATGGGTCGCTTCGCTTGACCTCCTGAGTCTGAATCTGACCTCCATTTTTTCGGAACATGCTCTGAAGTCCATGAATATGAGATCAAAAATGAGGAAATTGAAATGTTTCAATCGAAATTTATGGGTTTTGGGACATTTTCTGGTGAAGCAACCACCATATCCAAACTCAATGTGTCAAAGAGAGTTTATCGCTATAATTTGAGATTAAACGATTGTCGATTCTGAAGATTGACGATGATGAGAAAGGGCAGTGATGATACTGCAAATGGTGGAGAAGTAAAAATATTATTTTGCTATTTATTTTAAATTATTTTTATATTTTAATAATAATAAAAAATATGACATCATAGAATAATAAAAAAAATAATATGTAGATAACAAAACATGAGTAATTCGAAAGTTCAATTGGTAAATTGGAAAATTTGAAAATATAGTGAATGAAATAGGAGAGAGGGTTAATTCAGTGAGGAATGTTGTCGTTTACCCTTATAATTTCTACAATTTTTGGGGTTTACTTTACAAATATAGGTTTTATAGTAATGTCGGGAGAGTGTTCTCGAATACACCAAATTTTTAGGATATATGAGATATCATGCATTTGTACTCATTGTGATATCTACGTTTATGATATATTATTGTGTTTCTTTCAAATTCGGAGGTCTTCTATGAAAGCTGCTCTCAACTTAGTGTTGAGTGCAACATACTATTTTACCTCCCCCTTACCCCATTACATATGGGAACAAGGGACAACCATTTTTCATATGTGAAAGTAAACTAAACCAAAACTTATTAAATTTCATCTCTTATATATGTCTTATTTATATATTAATCTCGGATTTTGTTTTCAACTTATAAATTTCTAACAGAAATATATGATAGCTTAAGTTTTGGATGACTAGTTGTTTTAACAGAATTAACTATTTCCATGTATATATATATATATATATATATATATATATATATATATATATATATAAAATTTATCATGTTGCTTAATGAAACTATTTATATATAAATAGGGTTAAATTCATATTACACCCCGAAACGGGTTCGCTTTAATCACTTTGGCCGTTTTATATAATTAATATACTATCTACTTTCTTTAAAAATAGGAAAATGTACAAAAATCTCCTTGAGATTTGATGAAAATTTCACTTATCCCTATAAATTTTAAAATAGAGAAAATAACCTCAGTGACAAAAAATGTCTTATAATATACGATTTTAACCAACTTTTTTTGGATTTGCCAAAATGACCAACTAAATCGCAATGCGATCGATAATTCGCAACGCGATCTCCGGTATCGCAAATCAGTTTCCAGATTCGCAATGCGATTCTGACTATCGCATTGCGATTTCCCAAATTCGCGTTGCGATTTTCCTAATTCGCAATGCGAATACGTAAATCGCAACGCGATTACGTAAATCGCAATGCGAATTAGGAAAATCGCAATGCGAATACGTAAATCGCAACGCGATTACATAAATCGCAATGCGAATTAGGAAAATCGTAACGCGAATACGTAAATCGCAATGCGAATCTGACTATCGCAATGCGATTTACATAGCGCCATTCGTATTAACGCGTATTTTTTTTTTCAAATTCCAAACACGAATTTCTTAGTAAATCAGAAACTGGACCGTCCACAGTATATCCCGTAATCGCAACTCATAACCTAAAACCTAAAATCACAACTCAGTCCCATCCCCATCTCTCACTCTCTACGGCGAAATCTGTCCCCATCTCCGAAGATTTCCGTCCCCGTCACCGGCGAAATCCCTCACAACCATTCACGGTCAGAAATCCCTCACAATCATTCAGAAATGGAAAATCAACCTCCGAGGGTTAGTTTTTTTAATTATTTTTATTTTGAAATTTTTGCATTATTTTAGGTTTTTCATATTGAAATTGATGATAAGTTTACTGGTAATTTCAATAATAGATTAACCATTTCACTTAGATTTCTTATTAAATTCATTCGATTGCTGCCAATACTGCTAAACTGTTTAGTCTTTAACACTGTGAAGTTAGTATTTGTCTTTGTTTTGTCTTTTGGTTGAAGTAATGCAGAAGAAGAATAGTTTCTAAACTTAAAATCGCAACATGAAAATGAAAATCGCAACACGAAAATGACTATCGCAACGAGAGAAATGAAAATCGCAACGCGAAATGAAAATTGCAACGAGATAATCGCAACGCGAAACCAAAATCGAATTGCGATTTTCATTTCGTGTTGCGATTCTCTCGTTGCGATTTTCATTTCGCGTTGCGATTCTCTCGTTGCGATAGTCATTTCCGCGTTGCGATTTTCATTCTCTCGTTGCGATTTTCATTTCAACCAAAAGACAAAACAGTGTTGCAAATTTTAGTTTCAAGAATAAACTACTATTTATGTTTATTGTTTTTGGTATATCTTCACAGTGTAGTTTTTGGTATATCTAACTTGGTATGATTATTGTTTTTGTAGAAATTTTTTTCGGGTTCATTGACATTAAGGAATAAAGTTAGCCTAGCCACTACAATTGCTTCGAAGCTTTCACCTGCACAAAGAAAATTGTTTGAGGAAACCTGCTTCGGGCCATGGCTGAGAGTACATCATCCGGGTGGAGATGCTAATTTGACCCATTTGTGGCTTCAGACCATGACTAGCGATCTACCCGACAGTATACAACGTGGTGAGGAAGAGATATTGTTTCATTTTCCACCGGCGTATACTTGTTTTGGGCGGAAGGAGTTCTACTTAATCACTGGTCTACGATTCGAACACGATGATGTAGGCCGGTACACTCGTCATATCACCCGCCCATCATGGTTATCCAGGGTTTTTCCTGATGAGTCAATAGAGAAGCTGAACTTACACGTCGACAACCTGAAGAAATTATTTAATAAGAAAGATGGTTTTACTCGGATGAATGACGTCGATGTTGTCCGAGTATGCCTTCTACTACTTTTGTATGACGGCTTTTTAGGTAGAGAGGCCAGACAACCTATTCCCCAGGAGCTAATATTATTGGTAGAGGACCTAAATGCATGGAATCTGTTTCCGTGGGGTTCATATATATGGAAAGCTACCTGGACTAAGTTGTCGTCTGCCTTTGAAGACCGCAAAAGTTTGCGTGGCGATGGGTCAAAATACACTTTGTCAGGCTTTGTTTGGGCCTTTAAGGTAAGAATTTCTATATAATGTTTTCAAAATTATAATTAATTATTTAACAATTACTAATGTTTGTTATTATATTGTTTGTAGATTTGGATATTCGAGGCTTTCCCCAGTATGCGGACATATGCATTAAAAGCTTCAAATGATATTCTTAGGGCTATTTCCTGGAAGAGGAAACGTTTGTTGGATTGGGAAGACTTAATACCATATGCGACAATAAATAATGTAAGTTAACACAAATACTATCATATATAAACAAGTTATTAATAGTAGACGTTTAACTTTGTTTGAGTTTTTATATTTTTAGGAGGCCAACACTCCATTAATGAGACTGACACCCACGGAGGCTGAGCTTGCCACTGATTGGTGGCAAGCTAGTTAGCGTTTTCTTGATGGCACGAATGATGAGCAACCTCCACTTCCTCCACTTCGAGAGCCATCACCTCACCCAGAGCCATCACCTGATCGACCCGACTATACACCTCTACAACGAGAGCCATCACCTATCCCTTCACATCATCGAGCCTCTTCTCCACCATCACCTCATGATAGGCAATCGGAAAAGATGCCACGACTTCTATCTCCCTGTTCTCCACCTCCACGGGATGAGTCAAGGGAGTTACGTGATGAGGTCAATGCCTTGCGTGA